ACAAAACACTTTTTTTGGGTAATATTTTAAATGAGAAAAGTAAAAATTAAAATTTATTTACATTTCAAATGTCAATTCTATTCAATCTTAATTGTCTTATTTTTATAATTTGAAATGTTAATGTTAAGATGTGAACACAATTATATTTAGAATTATTATAAATAATTTATACTTTAAAAGATTTAAAATATTCTCTTTGTAAATACCTATATATAGGTCATTGTATATATAGCATGATTCAAGAAAGTAATAAACATTTTTTCAAATTATTCTTCTTTTCTGTTTTCTAATATGATATCAAAACTATAAGCTCCTGGTTCTTTTCTTTTATCATCGTTGTTGGGTTTTTTAGAGTTGGATTTTCAATTCCATTCCAGATCTGAAACTTTGTCGTTGGGATCTCTTTTTCTATAGATTGAATTGTTTATCCTCAATTCTCAAGCCTTTTCTAAGGTATTTTGTTGGTTTGTTACTTCGATCTTGGCATTTATTTCTTCATATTTTTAGAGTTTTCAGTATTGTGAGTTTACTAATTCTATGGCGACTTTTAAAAGGATTGTAACTCATCCTACTACTGCTATGGTTGCCAAAGAAGTGATAGAACAGCCTAATTTCAACCTTCAATCCCTAAAACAGGTGATATTAAATCTTTTTAATGCTCATACTGCCTTATCTACTACTCCGGGTACCAAACCTTGGTATTTCGATTCTGGTTATTGTAACCATATGTCTTTAATTACTGCTCATTTCTCTTCAATGTCACCTAATAATTCCTTTCTTGATATTTATTCTATTGATAGTTCCCCTATGAATGTTAGTCACATTGGCAATGTTTCTACAAAGTCATTGACTTTACCAAATGCCCTTTTAGTTCCAAAACTTAGTTATAATCTTATATCTGTCGGTCAATTATGTGATCTTGGTCTTGAAGTAACATTTTCTACTCATGGTTGTCGTGTGCAAGACCCACAGACATGACAACTTCTTGGAACTGGTCGTAAGGTGGGGCGTTTGTTTGAGCTCAACTAGCTGCATATTCCTGATAATAAAATGGATACACCATCATTTCCAAATAATCGATTCATCCAAACTCTGCTTTGTGTTGTAGAATTAGAGTCTTTGCAAATTCCATATCAACAAATCTTCCAAGCCTGTGCTACTAATAACATTTCTCCGCTCCATTTGTGGCACTCACGACTCAAACATATCTTAATCGGTAAACTTCGTCCACTTATCTCTCGTGGTTTATTAAGATCAGTTTCGAATGAATCTGTGCATTGTGTGTCATGTCAATCTGCAAAGCAACCAGCTTTATCTTTTTCAAGTAGTCATTCTCATTCTATTGCTCCTTTTGATCTCGTGCATTCTGATGTTTGGGTTCCATCTCCTACACCCACCATAAGGGGTTCCAAGTACTTCGTGTTATTTATTGATGATTATACTCGTTTTACCTAGATATACCTTATGAAAAGTCACTCTGAATTATCACAAATTTATATTGACAATCTTGTCCTTATACTTCTGAACAAAATGGGCAAGCCGAATGCAAACACAAACACATCCTTGATTCTGTTCGTGCTTTACTCATTTCATCTTCTTGTCCAAAGCGATTTTGGGGTGAAGCTGCTCTTACAGTTGTTTATCTTATTAATTGCATTCCATCATCAATCCTTAATAACCAGTCTCCATACGAGCGTCTACATGGTATTCTTCCTGCTTATAATCTTCTTAAGGTTTTTGGTTGTGCATGTTTTGTTCTTCTTCCACCTCATGAACATAACAAGTTAGAACCTAGAGCTCGATTATGCTATTTTTTGGATTATAGGATTACACAAAAAGGATATCGTTGTTGGGATCGTGTGTCACAAAAACTCTGAGTTTCACGTCATATTGTCTTTTGGGAACACACTATGTTCTCATCATTGTCAAACTTCAAAGTGTCATCTTTTCTTTAACCTCCATTTTTTACTAATCCTTCTATTGAGCTATTTCCTAGTGATTTTAGTGTAGGTACATTTGATGAGCTCTACAATGCCTCACCACATGCTGCAACTAGTTCTGTAGAAGATGATCTGCCTGCTGGTAATGCATTAGATAATTTTGAGCCTTCTTCTACTTCCTTGTCTATATCACCTGTTGATTCTACAAATGAGCTTGTTGTCTCATCCTTGAGTCATCCTACTCAGATAAGAAACCCTCCCAACTACCTTCGTGATTATCATTTTTTTCCTGCTATTACTTTGTTACATGAGCCTTAATCTTATCAAGAGGCCTCTTCTAACCCTTTTTGGCAACAAGCTATGCAAGATGAATTACAAGCTCTTGATAACACTCGTACATGGGATTTAGTTGATCTCCCTGATGAAAAATCTCTAATAGGCTGTAAATGGGTGTACAAGATCAAAAGACGATCTGATGGTTCTGTGGAGTGTTATAAGGCACGCTTGGTTGCCAAGGGTTTTACATAGGAGTATGGAATCAACTATGAGGAGACATTTGCTCCAGTTGCTCGTCTTACATCTGTGCGCAGTTTGCTTTCTATCGTTGCTATGCGGAGAAGAAAATTGTTGGAGATGAAAATTGTTCAAGATGGATGTGAAAAATGCTTTTCTTAATGGTGACCTAGAAGAAGAAGTTTATATGAAACCACCTCCTAGGCTCAACCATCCTCCAAACAAGGTATGCCGATTGCGCCGTGCATTATACAAGTTGAAGCAATCCCCTCAAGCCCAGTATGCAAAGTTTAGTGCTACTGTGAGTGAGTTTGGTTTTACTTCCAGTCCACATGATATAGCTTTGTTCATTCGTAAGACTGCTCAAGGTATGGTTCTTTTACTTCTTTATGTTGATGACATGATTATTACTGGACATGATGTTGTAGGTGTTGAGGAGTTAAAACAATCTCTCAGTCAGAAATTTGAGATGCAAGATCCTGGTGTTGTGAGCTATTTTTTGGGGTTTGAAGTGACCTCTTTAGATGATGGCTACCTACTTTCTCAAGTAAAGTATGCCTTCGATCTTGTTTCTAAAGCTGAACTTAATTATCGTAAAAGTGTTTCTACACCTCTTGAACCTAATGTCAAGCTTACACCTATGGATGGCTCTCCACTTTCTGATCCTACTCGCTATTGGCAATTGGTTGATAGTTTGGTTTATTTTATTACGACACGCCCTGATATAGCATATGTAGTTCACATTGTTAGTCAGTTTTTAGCTGCTCCTCGCTCCACTCATTATACAGCAGTACTTCGCATTATTCGCTATGTTAAGGGAACATTATTTCATGGACTCCATTTTTCTGCCAACTCCTCCCCTGTGCTTCGCGCTTACTTTGATGCTGACTGGGTCGGTGATCCTTCTGATCGTAGATCTACCATTGGTTACTGTCTTTTCCTTGGTAGTTCTCTTATCTCTTGGTGGAGTAAGAAACAAGCTATTCCATCTCGCTCTAGTACTGAAGTTGAGTATAGAGCTCTCGGGGATACCACATCAGAACTTCTTTCATTGCGGTGGCTTCTTGAAGATATGGGCATTCCTCAACCTTCTTTTACTGATTTATATTGTGATAATCAAAGTGCTATGCAGATTGCTCATAATGATGTCTTTCATGAACGTACTAAACACATTGAGGTTGATTGTCACTTTATTTGCCATCATGTTACACAAGGAACTGTTGATTTGGTTTTCATTGGCTCCGCTAATCAACCAACGGATCTCTTTACCAAGACTCATTTTCCTGGACGCTTTCGTACTCTTCTTTCTAAACTCAAGTTGGTTTTATCACAACCACCTTGAGTTTGAGAGGGGATGTTAAGATGTGAACACAATTATATTTAGAATTATTGTAAATATTTTATACTTTATAATATTCTCTTTGTATACTTTATACCTTAAAATATTTTCTTTGTAAACACTTATATATAGGTCATTGTACAAATATCATGATTCAAGAAAGCAATAAACTTTCCTTCAAATTATTCTTCTTTTCTATTTTCTAACACTTAAAAATTAGTTATCTATTATTCTATTTTAAAATGTTATTTGATGCATTTTATCTTTTAGAAAATAGGCAATGCAGTCAAGTCAAGTTTTTATTCTTTACTCACCAGTCGGGAGTCAGACTGGTGGTACAGTACAGCAGACATTTTAGTAGAACCAGACATTGTATGAGTACAATATTTGATGGTCCAAGCTAACG